GAAAGGTAGCCCTTCATCACAGTTGGGCTTCCTGGTGGCTCAAAGGTAAAGAATCCACTTGCAATGCATGAGACACGAGTTCAGTCCCTGGGTGAGAAGGATCCCCTAGAGAAGGAAATGGCAACCTACTGCAGTATTCTTGCCTGGGAAATCCCATAGACAGGAGCCTGGCGGGTCTGTGGGGTCACAAAAGAGTCAGACATAACTTAGCAACTAAACCACCACCATCATCCCAGTTAATTTGAGAAGCGCTTCTTCATACAAGAAGGTACTAGTCTCTTACAAGCCTTCTGTTTCTCTGCTTTTATAGAACACATTGTAAAGGAGGAGAGAAAACTTTCTGTATACTCTTATGTTAAATACCTGGGGCCTGTGAATTAAGCAGACAAATGGCAAATTAACAGGAGAAAAGATTTTCTTTTTTGGGGGGGGGTTGAGAAAAGATTTTCATTTGCACATGGTGGGCAGTAAAGAGCGGGCATGCTCACAAGAAAAAGTGAAACCCACAGAGACCCAGAGGCTTATATACCATTTTAACAAAGAGTGAAAGTGAAGAGACTAGACAAAGGAAGGAAGGGGGAGTTTGGGTATCTAGGGTTGGAAGTAAATTGTAGGAAGGTAATCAGAAAATATATGGTAAAAAAGAGTTATTAATAAGGTTTGTTACACAGGTCAGAGTGGTTTTCTTCTTCCTGGTACATGAGAAGGGAACACCTTTACAAAAGGAAATTTCTGTCACTTTAATAAAGGGAAATTAATGTCCCATTTTTAGGCAGAATGGAGGAGAGTAGAGTGTTTTCCTGTATGTGCTGATTTTCAGTTGCCTTCAGCTCAAAATAATCCTCTGCTAAAGTGGCATATTTGGGGCTGGAATATTTTGATCCCTTCCACATACTTACAGCCATACCTTGTCCCTCTAGACCTGTGATCTCTTTTGTTTGTTTGGAGAATTTGTTTTGGGATAATTTTTAAATTTTTTATAAGTAATGCATTACAAAAGTTTTAAAATTCAGATAGATGAAATGAGGGGCAGTTAAGATCATTCATAATCCCACCACTTTTCACAATTCAGCGTAAAAATCCCATAGTTTTTCTCTGTGTTTAGTATAGAAATATTCCCCATACTCTTCCATAGCAGGATTTCTTCTCTCTCTCATTTCGTTCCCTCAGAATGGAACCAACTAAGGAAATTCAGAGCATGCTTATTGAAGCTTCTTGGCAGCCTCAGAAACACCCTAAGATGGGAAGCCAAAAAGAAAACCAATAAGAGAAGGCTTATAATTGTTTTTAAAAGCATATTATCAAGTAAGGTTTGTCAAGAATTAAGACAGTGAACTTTTTGTTCAAGATTAATATACTGGGATTGTATGTTTTACGAATATGTATATTTTAAGTTTCTAGATGAGTAAAATTTGCATAAAAGTATTTTTAGCTCTTATTTCTATATCTCATAAAATTTTAAATTAATGCATTGCCTTTTACTTTAATATCAATTAACATTACAAATAACTAACCAAATAGCTTTAATAATAGAAAAATTACTTTCACAGTAATGACTTACTTTCAGACTAAAACCTCAAAGAGCACGCATGCTTGTTTTAAACATTACATAGGCGGTTTTGTTTGGTGCCCCTGGTTATGAACCATTGTATTAAAAAATGTATAATAGCCAAAAGATCCCATTTATAATAGCAACTAAAAATATAAAATGCCTCGGAGTGGGGAACCTAATAATCAATATTTGGAACCAATGTGAAGAAAACCTTAAAATTCTAACTCAGAGACATAAAAGGCAATGGAGACCAGGACATGGAAGCAACCTAGATGCCCATCAGCAGACGAATGGATAAGGAAGCTGTGGTACATATACACCATGGAATATTACTCAGCCGTTAAAAAGAATTCATTTGAATCAGTTCTAATAAGATGGATGAAACTGGAGCCCATTATACAGAGTGAAGTAAGCCAGAAAGATAAAGACCATTACAGTATACTAACACATATATATGGAATTTAGAAAGATGGTAACGATAACCCTATATGCAAAACAGAAAAAGAGACACAAATGTATAGAACAGACTTGTGGACTCTGTGGGAGAAGGCGAGAGTGGGATGTTTCAAGAGAACAGCATTGAAACATGTATATTATCTAGGGTGAAACAGATCACCAGCCCAGGTTGGATGCATGAGACAAGTGCTCGGACCTGGTGCACTGGGAAGACCCAGAGGGATCGGGTGGAGAGGGAGGTGGGAGGGGGGACTGGGATGGGGAATACATGTAAATCCATGGCTGATTCATGTCAATGTATGACAAAAACCACTACAATATTGTAAAGTAATTAGCCTCCAACTAATAAAAATAAATAAATAAATAAAAATTTAAAAAATTTTTAAAAAGGCAATGGAGATGCATATCATATTCACAGATGAGAATGTTAGGAAAATGTTAATTTCTACTTGTTAATCTATAAATATAATACTATTTCAGCAAAATATTTTTTAAAAACTTCTTAGTGTTTGAGAAATTGATTTTAAATTTCAGCTGGGAGGAAAAAAAATCTCATAGGAAAATGTTGGCAAAGAGTAATAATGAAATGAGACTTATTTTGCCAAATACTAAAATAGATACTATTGCAGAATTAAAAATGGTATCAGACTAGATACCAAAATAGTGGAAAAGAGTAGAAACCTAAAAATAACTTCGTATGTGTGTATGCATATGTAGAAATTGTCATTTCAATTACTAGTATTTTCACATATGTCCAGGAAAATGAATCGATTCATGCTGGTAACTGTAGCCCAGGGCAGTAAATGATTTCCAGTTATTTCCCACTGACTGGTTCCCTCTTTAAGATTTGCCTCTCACCACCTTACTACCTTCTCCCACCCTTAAGATTTTTCCCCCTTTCAGATCCCTCCAAAAAGCCTTCCTCTGGCTTTAAGGATTCTTATTGCTTTATGATGCAGTTTAGCTTTCTCCTTTGCCCAACTCATCTCTCATCTAAGATGCATCGTGCTTATCCTCACATTTCGCAATTAAAAAGGAAGAAGGCTAAACAAAGCTATAATTCCCTCACTATGTGTTTTTAGTCTTCACAAATGAACCATCCAAGCTTAAACTGCAGCCAGCTTTAAAAATAGTGCTTTTTTCTCCCCACAACACAAAGAAATGAAAAATATTCAGCCTCTCTAGTAATCAAAGAAATATAAATGAAAGCATTTACGGGTGACTTTTTTTCCTCCTATCTGATTGGCAAAGATTAAAAAGAATAATCATCCTAGGCGAGCCAAGCAAGGTAGAGGAAAGAACACTTTCACACTCGGTAGTTGCGGAGTAAATTGTTGAAAGTTTTCCAGTAGTATATGTATCAAAAGCATTCTTTTCTATGCCTCTTGACCTAGCAACTCTGCTTATAGGACTGTTGCAGGTGATCAGGATTGTTCACATAGATGCATGATCACATTCATCTGGGCTTTATTTCTGATGATGCAAAATAGGCCCTGCCATACTTCAGAGTAGACTGAGCCATCATAAAAATTAGTTTAGAAAAGAATCCTATTGAACATTGGAAAAAGTTCATTGGCTGTGAAATGAAAACTAGGTAAAATTGGTAAAGCTTTGTATAAATGTGAAAGTATTTGCATATAATATGGTCAACTAATCAGTAAATATTTACTGTGTACCTAGTATTCTGTCAGGTTTTAGGTGGGAATATGTTGAAAGTATAAAATATACTTGTTCTTTTAGAACTTCATGCTACATTTGAACTGTTGAGCTTGAATATGTATATTTGTTCCTTGCACACTTAGTAGGTGTAGCTGTAAATAGTGGAAAGAGCATTGAATATAGGTAGGGATTTGAATTCTGTCCCTGTCACATACGTGTCTACTCACTTAGACAAATTATTTGAGAACATGAAGGATGCTGACCTCATGGGGTGATAGTAAGAGTGAAGGGAGATAAAACAAGGACTGCTTTCCATAATGCTTGGTGAATAGTACTATTAGTAATGATTATTAATGATTATTAATTAATTAGTTATTGGACTTCCCTGGTGATTCAGTGATTAAGAATCTGCCTTGTAATGCAGGGGACACGAGTTCCATCCCTGGTCAGGGATGCCCCAACCTACAATGCCCCACAACGTTTTGCCAACAAAGGTCTGTGTAGTCAAAGCTATGGTTTTTCCAGTAGTCATATACAGATGTGAGAGCTGGACCATAAAGAAGGCTGTGGTTGTTGTTCAGTCACTCAGTCATGTTGCACTCCTTGCAACCCCATGGATTGCAGCAAGCCAGGCTTCCCTGTCCTTCACTGTCTCCTGGAGTTTGCTCAAACTTATATCCATTGACTCAATGATGCCATCCAACCATCTCATCCTCTGTCGCCCCCTTCTACTCTTGTCCTCAGTCTTTACAGCATCAGGGTCTTTTCTAATGAATCAGCTTTTTGCCTCAGGTGGTCAAAGTATTGGAGTTTCAGCTTCAGCGTCAGTACTTCCAATGAATATTCAGGGTTGATTTCCTTTAGGATTGACTGGTTTGATCTCCTTGCTGTCCAAGGGACTCTCAAGAGTCTTCCCTAGCACCACAGTTTGAAAGCACCAATTCTTCAGCACTCAGTCTTCTTTATGGTCCAACTGTAATATCTATACCTGACTACTGGAAAAACCATAGTTTTGACTAGATGGACCTTTGTTGGCAAAGTGATGTCTCTGCTTTTTAATACACTGTCTAGGTTTGTCATAGCTTTCCTTCCAAGGAACAAGTGTCTTTTAATTTCATGGCTGCAGTACTGTTTGCAGTGATTTCAATGTTAAGATGGTTATAATGTCCTTTATAATTGGTATCTATTTTTCATCAAAAGAAGGAGATTTAAATAATTTATTATAATCTTTAGCTGTAAGTCAACTAAAAACTTACTTACAGTTTATTCACTTTCAATGTTTTCTTCCTGAAATTTTCTCTTTCCTTATATTCTTTTTCACATCTCTCTACAGTATGGATGGAGCAGATCTGTGTTTTGAAATCGTAAAACGAGCTGATGCTGGTTTTGTATACAGTGAAGCTGTCGCCAGGTATGTAATTTGTATCAACTTCCCAAAGTAAAGGTAGAAGTAAAAGGGAGATGACAAGGAAATCCCATGAAGCGTCCTGCTCTTTGAATGACAAGCAGGAAAGGAGCATCTCTTAATTTGCCTTAGTGGAACCAAAGAGTGACCGGAAATGCAAAATATTAAACAGTGAATTTATTTATATGGATTTAGAATTTAACATCACCACTGCTGTCTTTTCCATTTCTGATGACTTTTATACAAGGAGGAATTTGATAGGTCAGGAACTATGTAGAAGGAAACTTGGGGGGTTTTTTTGGTGTGTTTTTTATTTTTGCTTTTTAGCAGATGTGCCTCCTTAGTTCTTCAGTTTGCCTTTTAGTGATAGCAGATTGTATTGTGACCAGTGAATCTGAGAAAAAGCACGGAACAGCAGAACAACAGAAATAACAGCACAGTTTTTCTGCTGAATATATTGGATCTCCCAATCAATCACTGTAGTCATCATGGTTCCAAGTGGAGGAGTTCCTACTCAAAATAAGGATTTAATATGAAAAATCACAGGAGCCATGCACTGGGTCACTTGCCTATAGATTTGGAGAAGTACATCTTTCTGCTTTGTTACTCTCAATCATATCATAAATACCCACTCCAATAAGTTGCCTTTTAATACACGGGTTACAGCAACCCTCTTTAGTCACTAACCTTGTTATGTCAAAGGGTTCAAACCTATAAGGATTTATTAAAACTTTCTACCATTTGGGAAACAGTTACCATTAAATGATTATAGCATTCTCCCTCCTACCATTCTTTTTATAATTATGGCACAATGGACAGATATGGCTGAAAACAGCTTAGAGACTACTACTCCCATGCAACTTTAAGCTCAGAGTGACTTGACTTTCTTCAAATTCTTTGCACAGTCTTCTCCTGACTGAGCAGCAAGGGCCCCCATTTCAGGAGGTGGAGCAGCCATAACTATAACACAAGATGAAGAATATACTAAATTTTAGGTAGCTGCTGTTTTCTACTCCTGGAGCTAGGGGGAGGAAGCAAATGAGAGTTTATATGTATTAGCTTTAGTTCCTTCTTTTAACTCCTGATTTATTCATGGTAGAACTGAGGCCAAATATCCTTTTTTATTTTGTGCCATGTTCACTAAAAGCGTATTCTAGAGTTTTCTTTTTTTTAATCCCATTTTGCTTTTGTATTCTTATCACAATTAAAAGTTTTTATTTTGTATTGCATTTTAGAATTTAAAAACATTCTTTAATAATCAATGCTATCTTGATTTTTCTTATGGCATAGTGGTATGCCACTTTCTCCTACTAAATGAAACCCTCAGATTTTGCATAGCATTATTCATATTTCTTCAAGAATTAGAGATTTGTATTTTTCCATATTGTTATCTTTCAACAGCAGCATCAAATAGGGAAAACTAAAAATTCTGGATGTTGATTTTATAAAACAGTGAAACTTGATGGAGGAAGATGACTTTTTCCTTTTTGAACCACAAAGACACTGGAATACCTGGCAGATAGGCTGTCGAAGTTGATGTTAAACCACTACTGCTTTTACTCTGTTCCATACTCATCCATTACTTTGCCAACAAAGGTCAGTCTAATCAAAGCTAAGGTTTTTCCAGTAGTCATGTTTGGATGTGAGAGTTGGACTATAAAGAAAGCCGAGTTTATATGGACTATAAACTATAGTCCATGGACTATAAAGAGTGCCGAGGAATTGATGCTTTTGAACTGTGGTGTTGGAGAAGACTCTTGAGAGTCCTTTGGACTGCAAAGAGATCCAACCAGTCCATCCTAAAGGAAATCAGTCCTGAATATTCATTGGAAGGACTGATGCTGAAACTGAAACTCCAATACTTTGGCCATCTGATGTGAAGAACTGACTCATTTGAAAAGACCCTGAAAAGACCCTGATGCTGGGAAAGATTGGAAGTGGAAGGAGAAGGGGATGACATAGGATGAGATGCTTGTATGGTATCACCAACTCAATGGACATGAGTTTGAGTAAACTCTAGGAGTTGGTGATGGACAAGGAGGCCTGACATACTGCAGTCCATGGGGTCACAAAGAGTCGGACACAACTGAGCGACTGAACTGAACTACTCATTCCTATTACTTTTCTTCAGCTTTGAGCCTGTCTCTGCCACTGTGCTAGGTGTTAGAACATGAAGAATACCAGTGTTGTAGAGATGATGTCATAGAGTGAAATGACTGGAAGTCTCTCACAATCTTGAGATTTATAGGAAAGTTAGATGTTTATGTACATCAAGATGAAAGTCTGTTGATTTTAAAAATCCACCTATATTGCTGTTAAACTGGTGATTTTATGAAAGGAACTTACCAGAATGGACCAAAGAAAAGAGTAATATTGGGATCAATAAATGACACTGCAAAGAGAGAGATTTGGCAAAATTTATTAAAACCCTTCCTAAAAATGACAATAGGGAGGGACCTCAGAAAGTATGATTAGGTATGTCCCCTATTGCAGAGTACCAGTGACCATATAACCAAGGGCACATAGATCCTTCCTTTGGTTTAGAGCATTCAACCAGATGACTTCTACCTTCCTTCTCTCTGATCCTATGCTCCATTGTTGGGAAATGCAGCTTGTATTGTTTGTTCTAGTGAGACCAAGTGAAAGAAAACTCAGACACCAAGTAATCGTACTGATAGTGTTGTTTTTCTCTCGCTGGCTGACCTTCAAGAGGAGTAGCAAAGCGTGACATGAAAGAAAACTGCGTTCAGTCCTTACAACCCAATTACTGATTACCTCTGTTTTTCAGAGGTGGTGAGTTGTGGAGTAAACTAATACACAGGATCAGGTTATCAAATCAAAGTCTCACAAATCAGAGAGATATTCTTCCCTAGCACCAGGCTTTACTGAACAATTGTAAGGATACAGCCAATCAAAAGACCCAACTGAAGCTGAGAGAGATCTGGGCCTTTTAAGGGCAGCTCTTCACTTCTTCCTGCATCAGAAAAGCACCGCTGGCCCAGAATAGATGAGGTCTCTACATGAGGTCTGTGAGATTCCACACCTGGAGGGGAGCATTTCAACTATGAAGCATCTCCATTGGAGAGTGGTATAGCTTACACGCCATCCTCCATGAAGCCAGTGATGCCTCAGGGATCCTGGGTTCTGTTTATGATAGGCAGTCCTTAGTCAGGGACATTCTGTTAAGGGAATTCTAGAGATAAGCTTTCTTCAGCCTTTATTTTAAAGTTTGGAGAATGAAAGATCTGGATAGAAAAAAACAAAATTAAATAAATACTAACCAATAAATAATGCTAAGTATATTGCATTTCTGTGTCATGGCTGGTTGGGAAGGAAAGGGGGGACAATGAGAAAGGAAGATAGTAGGAAGAAAATGACAGATATGTAGGGAATAAAATTCAGAGGAAGAGAAGATGAAAAAGACCCTGAAAGAAAAAGAGAAACAGTAGGATTATAGAAGAAGAACTTTAGAACTGAGAGAAGGAAATTGAAGTAAGTTCTCAAGTAATACTGAATGAACTTCTCTTGTCACACCCAGTGGCTAGTTGACCCTGTTAGCACTTTTAAATGCTGACTCCTCCTCTGTTCTTCTCCTAAACCCAGTGCAGAGCCTTGGTGGACCCTGCTGGCCTTGTGAGGAGTTTGATTTTCCTAGGACTTCAGCCCAGAAGGAATCTGCTTTGTTCAGGGATGCCCCATCTAATACTTGATCATGTTGCAAAAAGAAATTGTAGGCATAAGGGGGTTCTCTCTTGTTTGTTCTTAGAGCTAAATGGAAATAAGACAGCTCACCAACCTCTGCTGGCAGATGAAAGGCTCCTACCCCTTGAGTTAGAATTCTTTGTGTACTTCTGAGCACTGCTCACTTCATAGCAATCCAGAGTAACTAAGTAAAATTAACTGAGTGTCAGAGAACTGTTATTTATTTTTGTCATATTTTAAGGTTGAACTTTTAGTTTGCAGAGCTATTTTACCTATGAGCTGTGTGAATGTGTGAAAATTCCTTTGACTTAGATATCTTAGAAAATGTAGAACACATTATTTCTTCATAAAGCTCATAAACTTATGCGTCTGCCAACTTTTTCATTACTAAGCTGTGCATTCCACCAATCTTGTCTACTCAAATGAAAAGTATCTGTGGGCAGCGAGTATGAAGGTGGGAGTTACAAACTAGGGACATTGTATATTAAGTTTTAAAAATAAAAGATTTTTTTACAGTTCTAGATTTCTTTTGTTTTTCTACAGTCATTACATGAGACAGATACTGGAAGCTCTACGCTATTGTCACGATAATAACATAATTCACAGGGATGTGAAGGTAAGTCATTTTTATTACTAACTAATATTTGTGAATAGAAACTGACTTATAACAATGATAGTAATGAGAAATTTTTCTTTAATGTTGTTATGAAGAACATCTTAAAGTTAATTTTACTTACAAATAAAAATTTGTTAAACTGGTTTATATTTGGAGAGTTGTAGTAATTCTTAATAGGAACAATTTTTTATCATTTCCATTTCCTTATTTTTATTAAAATGTACATGCATTCTAAAATTCCATTATTCTTTCTTTGCCATTGTGTGTGTGTGTGTGTAAGAGAAGTGTGAAAATCCAGTAAATAGGAAGAACAAACAATATCCTGCACTAAGTTAATTGAGGGGAAAATGAGAATTTGGTTGATATAGGAATAGTTCATCACACTTACATTTCTGTAATGTTGCAATGTAGAATAGTGCATTTTATTTTCTTTGCAGAGAGTTTTGAAACATAGTCTGAAATCATAAATTATAATACAGTTTGTACCCTTAGGAATATGAATATTACCATTATTCAGTCTTTATGCCTGTTTGATCCCAGTATCAATTCATGAGAACTGTCAGTTCCTGGCTCATTATGATGTCAGGCAGAACATGGAAGCATGAAGCAAAGGAAGACATGGCCCTCCTCCTCATACCTACCCCTTTTCAAGGCCTTGAGTCGCTAAGAGCCCCTGCAATCTCTCTGGCGCTATTGTCCACTTTCACATGCTCCTATTTTGTCACTGGTTTCTCTCTAACCTATAGCATCCATAGGTACAGTGCTCTTCTTCTCTCAAGAAATATTATCAAAGCCCTGGCTTCTTCAGTGGATTTTAATGGTAAAGAAAATTAAGTAGAATTTAATTAAATTTTCTATAACATCTGAGAAATTTTAACTGAAATTCTGGTGGTTAAAAGCTGAGGGAAAGCATGAGCAATTCCAAACCAATCTAGTGGAATGTTACAATAGCAATGAAAAATCACTGGAGAAATGTACAAAATACACAATAGTGTAAATTAGTTGTAAAATATCTTATTCTTTTCAAATGTGGTTATAGGAAAGTGATATTGTTATTATCTCCACTCAACATTTTAAACAACTCAGTGGATACATAGCACTTTTATAAGCAAGTATTCTTCAGTTATTCAAACAAAGGGAGGGAGAAGTATAGAAAGATAAGGGGGGTGGGGAATGGTCAGTGATTGCAATGTGCCGTATTATTCTTTTGCATTTAATTAATAGAATAAAATGCATATATACAGCATGAACTATATCTCTATAAATGACAATCTGTGGGAGTTCCCTGGTGGTCCAGTTGTTCAGACTCCACACTTCCACTGCAGAGGGCGTGGGTTTGATACCTGGATGGAGAGCTAGGATTCTGCATACGATGCAGTAAGGCCCCCCAAAAAAAGATCATTTGAAAAGTTAAAATATGTAAAACAGGGGGCTTCCGTGATAGGTCAGTGGTAAAGAATCCACCTGCCAATTTAGGAGACACGGGTTCTACCCTGGTCCAGGAAGATCCCACATGCTGCAACTACTGAGCCCATGCGCCATACAACTAAGCCCATGCACCACAATTACTGAGCCAGTGCTCTGGAGCCCACATGCTGCAGCTGCTGAAGCCCATCCACCCCAGAGTCCGTGCTCCACAATGAGAGAGGCCACCGCAGTGAGACACCCGCACACTGCAACTGGAGACCTGCCTGCGCAGCAACGAAGACCCAGCACAGCCAAAAATAAATAAATACAATTTTTTAAAATATGGAAAACAAATTCTGAGTTCATGTAGTAGCATTGTGTTAAAGACTGTTGCTCAAGAGGCAGTTTTTTAAAATTGAGATATAGTTAACGTTTAAAGTGAGTGAAAGTGAAGTCACTCAAGTCGTGTCCGACTCTTTGCGACCCCATGGACTGTAGCCTACCAGGCTCCTTTGTCCGTGGGATTTTCCAGGCAAGAATACTGGAGTGGGATGCCAACGTTTAGCATTATATTAGTTTCAGGTATACAGCATAATGATATATGTATATATTGTGACATGATCACCACAGTAAGTCTAGTCTCTGTCACCAAGCAAATGTACAATATAATATTATTGACTAGTCACCGGGCTGTACATTACATCTCATGACTTATTTATTTCTGTGATTTGAAGTCTGTACCAATTACCCTCTTCACCCATTTTGTTCCTCCAACCCTCTTTCTCTCTGGCAACCACCATTCTGGTCTCTGTGTCTGTGATTTTTGTTTTGTTTGCTCATTTGTTCTGATTTTGAGATTCAGTGTATGACTGAAATCTTATTTGTCTGTCTCTATCAGACTTACTCAACATAATACCCTCAAGGTCCATCCACTTTGTCACAATGGCAAGAGTTCATTTTTTTTTTAACGACTGAGTAGTATTCTGTAGTATTCTGTTGTATATCTTTGTTCATTTACCTGTCAATGGACACTTAGGTTGTTTCTATTTTGGCTAATGTAAATAACGCTGCAGTAGCATGGGGGTGCATATATCTTTTTAAAGTAGTGTTTTTGTTTTCTTCAGATAAGTACTCAGAAGTCAAATTGCTCAGTCATTTGGTAGTTCTTGTTGAAAGTGAAAGTCACTCAGTTGTGTCCAACTCTTTGCGACCCCATGGACTACACAGTCCATGGAATTCTCTAGGCCAGAATACTGGAGTGGGTAGCCTTTCCCTTCTCCAAAGGATCTTCCCAACCCAGGGTTCAAACCCAGGTCTCCCGCATTACAGGCAGATTCTTCACCAGCTGAGCCACAAGGGAAACCCAAGAATAGTGGAGTGGGTAGCCTATCCCTTGTCCAGTGGATCTTCCCAACCCAGGAATCGAACTGGGGTCTCCTGGATTGCAGACAGATTGTTTACCAACTGAGCTATCAAGGAGGCCCCCATATGGCAGTTCTATTTTTAGTTTTTTGAGGAACCTCCATACTGTTTTCTAGAATGACTGCACCAGTTTACATTTCCACCAATAGTGTATGAGGGTTCCCTTTCTTTCTACATCTTCACCAACACTTATTTCTTACCTTTTTGATGATAGTTATTCTAACAGGTTAGGAGGTGATCTCTCATTGTGGGATTTGCATTTTCCTGATGATTAGTAATGTCAAGCATCTTTTCATGAGGTGTTGGCCATCTGTCTTATTTGGAAAAATGTCTGTTCAGATCCTCTGCCCACTTTTTAAATCAGATTGTTTGGAATTCTGTTACTGAGTTGTTAGAAGCAATTTTATTTTGAATTCTGTTCTTGCGAGGTAATTATATCAGCATCATATGAGAAATAATGATGGACAACACACTCTACTGTAGTACTTTCAATAATATAGTCAGTCAGCTTTTTGGTTGGCCATGGTATTTTGTATAATGACAATCCAAAACCAAATACAATATCTAAGTAGTTATGTTTGAATACTGTGCTTCAGCTTCTCATTTACATTCTGATTGATTTATTCAACAAATATCCAAGTACCTACTTCACACAGTATACTGTGTCTAGAGCCCTAAAGGCATTATGGTCTCAGTAGACAGATGAGATAGTGTATCTGTTACCAACTGCTGCAGATCAACACACAGTGACTTGGAGCAGTCACCATTTATTTGCTGATTTATTTGCTGTCAGTTCTGCAGTTGACAAAGCTTGAGGAGGACTGCTCAATTTTGTCTCAGGCTGTTGGCTAAGGTGGCATGGCTAGTATCCACAAAGGCTTCACTCACTTTTCTGGCATCTCAGCAGAAGTGAATAGAACAGCTGGAAGCTGGCTGGGCCCTCTTTGCAGTCTCTCATTCAGAACCTCTCTCTCTCTCTCTCTCTCTCTCTCTCTCTCCCCCTCTCCCCCCCCCTTCATTTCATGGCCTCCCTTTCTAGCAGGACAGTGTCTCATGGCACCAAAGGAGCAAAAATGAAACCTCAACCTAGAATTGGCACCATGTCATATCTTCTGCCTTCTGTTAGTCAAAATGTCACAAGAGCAGCCTGGATTCAAGAGGAGGAAAAACATGTCGCACCTTTTAGTTAGAGGAGCAACATAGGTGCACAAGGATAGGAGAACTTGTTCATGGCCATCTTCACAGATAGGCAAAACAAACAATTATCATCCAGGGTATGGGGTGGGAAATATTAAAAGACAGAGTCATAGAAACCTCACGGAAAAAGTTGCATTTGAGCCTACTCTTGAGTCATGGGAGAGTTACAACAGGATGAGAGGACATTTCAAGCAACAGGAATAGTGTAGGCAAAGGCTCAAAGTTACTGTAATAAATTTTAGTAAATTTATTATATCTAAGGAATAATATATTTTGAGGAAGCATCCAGAAACATGAACTTCCCAGGTGGCAATGGTAGTAAAGAACCTCCCTGCCAATGCAAGAGACACAGGTTTGATCCCTGGGTCAGGAAGATTCCCTGGAGGAGGGCACGGCAGCTCACTGCAGTACTCTTGCCTGGAGAATCCCATGGACAGAGGAGCCTGACAGGCTGCAGTCCATAGCGTTGCAGAGTCGGACACAACTGAAGCAATATAGCAGGCACACACACATCCAGAAACATTCTAAGGAAGGGAAGAGAGAAGTGATTCTCAAACTGCAAGTTAATAAGGAACCACCAGAAAAGGCACCATTGTTGAATTGGGAAACAGACTCAACACAGAGCACACATTATTATTGATATTCTTTGTATTTCAGTACCTGAAATCTGTACATTTCGCTTGGTAACTATAGTGCTCACATTTAGCTAGTCGGTAAATTGAGATTGGGTTTTTTTTCTTCTTAAGACATCCATCCAAAAATACATATCGAGTGCCTACTCTGTGTCTAGCACTATCCTAGGAACCAGAGCTACATCATCGAACAAAACAGACCAAATCACTGACCCTGTGGAGCTGACTTTGTAGTTCAGGGAGACAGACACTGATCACTGAGCATAAATAAGTCAACTGTATAGTAGGTTAGAGAGGTGAAAAGGACTACAGGGAAGAAAAAAAAAAAAGAGCAGCCAAAGG